GTACGGGCGTGTCCCCCCGGCCCGGGCGTGTCCCCGGGCGTGTCCCCGGGCGTGTCCACTGTCCGGGCGTGTCCCCCCGGCCCGGGCGTGTCCACTGTCTGGGCGTGTCCACTGTCCGGGCGTGTCCCCGGGTGTGTCCCCCAGGAAGACATGAATTAGAGGACTGGCTTGACATTCTAAGAAAACTGACATTTTCCATTAATCTTCTACAGCTGCTGAAGGTGAGGGTCACTGGATCGGTCAGCGAGCGCCACAGGGCCACACAGACACAAACATGCACACCCACACTCACTCCCAAGGTCAGTTTACAGTCACTAATTAACCTGACATCCATGTTTCTGGGGGTTGGGAGTACCTGGAGAAAAAAAAAAGGAAAAACAAGTGTTCATGTTTTCAGCATGCAGCCCCTCCACTCACAATGAGCGGCGTTGTCTCAGCAGAACCAGGCTAGCTGCGCTAATTCAGCCATGTACAAACGTATCCACACGATCCGTGCACACACAGGGGTCTCACCAGTGTGTGGCCATGCTGGATATGCTGTCTAAAAGAGGGTGAACATTACCACAGTTTTTTCACTCCTATATAAACTATAGTTAGGTGTGTTTGAATATGGTTGTCGTATGTTTTGCTGCTAGCAGTAGTTGTGGAATCCTGATTTTTCATTATTTTAATGACTTCCCTTCTGCTGATTTGATGTTGCTGCTACTCTTTTTCTCCCTTGCTTTGTTCCTTTGTGGCTTTGGCTTTATCATTAGCATGCAGCCATAAAAGGTGCATCAATTTTCTCTTCCAAATCGCAGAATTATGCAAATCAGAGTTTGTTTTCTGAGCCAATTGCAATGGCTTGGCTTTTGTTCAGCCATTTCTCTTGTTTAAACACGTCGTAGCGGTCAAGGAGGATGTGCCGGCATTATGGCCCAGAAATCACTACAGCGTGTGTTCAGGGTCATTTCATAGCTGAGATTAGCGCTGTGCTAAAACTGGCTTAGCGGTGACTGAACTTTCAAGCCTTGGAGTAAACTACTCTGCAGCCACAGCCATCAATGGCCTCTTTAATTCTTTTATCAGAAAATTCAATGTTCACACATCGTCATACTCAAATAATATCCACAAGAGAGACAGGTTAGGGAGAGTTGTGCGATGTAACATATGACTATAATCACGGGGGCACATCCCTGTCTTTAGGGTCTTTGCAAATATGCATCTTCTTGTTGATATTCTTTCTTTTCTCCTGTCCCATCAGGAGGTTGGTAAACAGCCTCCTGCCGGCCCAGACTCTCAACAGCGTTTTGGTCATTGCCCTTACTGTCTGCACCATCTATCAACAGATAAGTCTTTTATGTTTGCAGACACATTAGCCAGCATGTGCGAGGACCCCAGTGTATGAAACACCTGCAGTCATCCACGCTCGGGAGCCCCTTCTGATTGGTGTTTTGTGTCCTCCAGGAGGCTGAGGATGGGTGTGTGTGTGTGTGTGTGTGTGCTGGGGGGGTTCTGGCTGCAGATCCAGCCGTGAGTCCTCAGGCCCGGGCCGCATTCATCCCAGTCTACCCCTGTCACCCCCCATATGCTGCAGGCCAGCTCTGGCCCCCCACACGCCTCCCCAGCACTGGGGGGGATGAGGTCCATGCTGCTGAGGTCTGACTCCGGCTGAATAATGCAGGTCTGTCAGGAGGACCACACCTGAGCCAGCGCCAAGTCTCCCCAGCAAATCTGATGAGGGGGACGCACCCCCTTGAAAATGAACATGTTTGCATGAATCATTTTCCTCACAAAAGCCATGTGGTCTTACACACTCATCTGTGACAAGTGTACAAATAACGAACCAAAGTAGATCAATCTTTAGCAGTTTTAAATGACAGTTTAATCTTGGGAGCTCCTGGAGTAGGAGCTGTGACGTGGAGCTTGGAAAGCCAAATTCCACCTCCGTCTGCTGGAGGAGCCCGACTGAAAAACGCGTCCCCAAACCATTCCACAGCCAAGCTCCGGTCAGAGGCAGATCCGCTGCTGACCGCTGTCTCCCAGGTCAGCAAGAATGTGCCCTAACCCTAACCCTAACCCTAACCCTAACCCTAACCACATGTGGTGACTGATGAGACCAACCCCCCCCCCCCCGCAGGACACTTCCCAGCTAACAGCCCACGGATTTAAGGACAGAGTTATCAGTCATAAAGGACAAGTTGGAATAGAGAATTAAAGGTGAGGAACATGAACGCTCTGGCGGGGGCGGGCGGAGAGCAGAGCTGTGGGTGTGGGGGGGGGTGACTGATGGCAAACAGCTGCACGTGGTGGAAAAGGGTGGTGGAGTTGTGAAAAGATGAGGAAAAAACAGCTGTGAAGAAAACCCATGAGGCAAAAGTAGCAAAAAGGAAATGAAAGAAGCTGGACTAGTAAACAAAAGGTCATTTGGAGCTTGTGCTGTTGATTCTGAACCAACACTTTGAGGCTCCTGAGGGAGTGGCGGCGGGGGGTGTCTGTTTGATGGAGAAACATCCCACACCCTCAGTGTGCTGAAGACTTCTGGGTGGGATGAAAGAATAACTTGTTTTGTTGTCTCTCTTTCCTTTTTTTCTCTCTCTCTAACTTCCTGTTAAGCGGTGTGTAGAACAAAGTGAAGATATGTGTCATCATGGCAAAAGGAAGCGGATTCACTGCAGTGATCTGGCATTTCACATTATGCCAGAGCATTACTTCTTTTTCGAATCAGGTTTGAAGTTTCCCTCTTTCTGGACAAACTCAGAGACTCTTGGTTCCAGAAGTGACAATAACAAGTCTGACTGAATGACCAATAGAACTACAGCTCCTCTGAGCTGAAAAGACGATAGTTGGGCTGAGTTTGTCTGACCCTGAAAGACTCTAGAACCCAAACATGGACTTTAAATGTGCTGGGGGTCCTTTATCATAAACAGCTCACTCATCCCATTCAAACTGCATTGCCTTCTTGTTTACATTCATACATTTTTTAGTCACTTTGACCTAATCTGTCCTTTTTAAACTGAGGCCCAATATTTGTTTTTAACTTCAGACAAAAAGCAGTTAAGAACTAAACTTTTCTAAGGGTTTTTCGTGTATTTGAATGCATCTTGTAGTTTAGTTTATTTAAAGAAAAGGAGCATACAGCATGTCAAACTGTGGTAAAAAAAAATGGTTCGGGAATGCAGCCTATTCTTCAGGCTGGGTCAAATCAATATTCCTTATGTCTCGAGTCCTTTGAGTGGATGAATGTTCATATGAGGGTTAGAAACCTTCAGACCAGCTCCCACAGCTACATCAGCTTCATGATGTTATGTTCTGAGACAAGGTCTAATTTATAGTGATATCAAATTAAGACTTGGGGCGAATCCTCATATTAGGTCAAAATTTCAGACTAGAAACAAATTGTCTGGCTAATTATATCTTCCTATTGTCAGTTTTTTTGGGGCAAACTGTAAGCACACAAGAAGACGCATCAGTGGTGCATTGAAAATATTTATTTCTTTTCTGTGTATAATTAGACATTTATAGCTTTCATAGAAATAGAACATATACATATATATATATATATATATGTTTACCATATGTGAACGATAGCAGAGTCATGCTAGCCCTCATGAACAGGTTTTATCCCATGAAAATTGACATGGTTAAACAGACACATCGTGATTGTACATAAAACACTGACTCCTTAATTCTGCTTTAAATCCATGCTTCTTGTTTATTCTTCCACATAATATATAAATATAAGCCATAAATAAACGGCCCTATTCTTTATTATACTATGAAGGGCCTTTGGGGGATTATTTGGATTTTAATATTTGCTCATCCAGTCATTTACAAGACAGGCATTCCAGTGGGACATTCAGTCACGATGTAGGCCTCAGCTGGTTCACAGGGATGAGGATGGTGGTTTGGCCTCTGGTCAGGGTGGGGAGTGGCCTGTGGGTTTGTTATCAGGAATAACTGCACTACTGGGACGTACTGTAAGGTTTCAGCACCAAAGGCTAACATAGGAAACATGTGATGCTGAGTAAGCACTTCAGTGCCCTGAAGCAGAACGTAAATGCACCCGACGCACAGCAAAACGGCCGCTGACCGTCCACTACCACCGGAACACAGCAGTGCCCTGGAACGTATCGGGTCCTTTCCTCAGAGCGGCTGCTGTCCACGGCCTCCGACCACTTTCCCGTTCAGACATCCCAGTGGGAGTGATCCCAGTGAGTGATCCCAGTGGGAGTGATCCCAGTGAGTGATCCCAGTGGGAGGGATCGGAGCTTAAAGCCTAGCCAGTGCCAGCCTCACCCTGGGGGGCAATGATCCCCCTGGTCAGTCTGCCGCTCACATCATCATTCCCTCCATTTCCCTGGTTTGTCTGCCCTCTGTGTGTGTGTGTGTGTGTGTGTGTGGCTGTCCTCTATCCCTCGGTCTCTCTCAGAGCCCTGGCCCTGCGTTAGCGTACGCCTGCTGGCTGCTCTCCTCTCCCAGCTGCCCGCTGCCCCCTGCAGCCTCAGATGGACGGGCACTGGGCAGTCTGGGCCAGGCCTGCCTTCTGCTGCTTTCCCAAATGTGTCACTTTGGGCCACAGCCAGCTGGAGAAAGGACTTGTGGGTGACTGTTAAAAGGGAATGTGTGTGTGAGCCACAGAGAGCGTATGTGCACTTTGATTACACAGCCTTAGGAAAATGACCAAGTTGGGCTCACTGGGCACCTTTGTGCTTTATCGCTCTTTACATCAGGCTGACAGCAGCACCAAAAGCCTAGAGAACCACAAGTGTTCTTTCCCATTTGAATGATCCCAACAGAAAGGGTTAAGTAAACTGGTTAAAAAGGAAATGAAATCGCACCCAGTTTGTCATATCAGAATTGTCTAAATCATTGAACAAACATAAACAACTTAGCAGGATTATTGACTTCTCCTGGCTTTAACTATCAGTTGATTTAGAGTCAAATGTGTTTTGGTCCTTATACACTGGATTACCATGACTGACCCTTCAGCCTGCTAAGACAGCGCTCAGTTGTGCATCTGGTGGTTAACAAGCTGTCACAAATCAGACCTGGATAGTGTTTGTCGTCTAAATGGTTCCATTTCAGGATCAACCAACACGGCAAAGGTCAACGGGGCAGAATCAGCCCCATGACGATAAGCTAGCTAAGCGAATTCACCTGCTCCTATTGTGAAAGTTGGACGTGGCAACAGCATCAGTCATGTTCCTGAACCTCTCTGTAGCTGTGTTCCACCCAACAGACGCACTTCTTATTGTCTGAGGGGGTTTGGTGGCGAGTGGGGGTCAACATGCGTGGGGACTGTTCCTCTGGAGAACGAGTCCACTTTAAAACACGGCTTGGACTAACCTACAGGTACAGCATTGGTAAATGTCCACCTACATGGCATTTAGGTGTGGTGAGGACGACATGTGCCGCAGAAATGTGGCCCTGATCCTGCTCTCCAACCTGTACAAGAAAGAGGCTCAAAAGCAGAAGAGCAAAGCGGAGAAGATCTGGGTGTTTGCTGAATGGATCTTCTCCCTTACCCTCTGCTCCACGGGTCAGACAGAGCAGCAGCTCTCAAACCCTTCACAGCATTCTCCTCCCGTTCAGCTCCAACTCCTGTGAGGGTTCTCTGTAACTCTGCTGTTTTCACAGTGGTGGCAATTATGCCCTCCCTCTATAATACATGCTCTCAAAGTAATCCAACACCAGTATATGCTCATCAACGGAACAAAAAGGGCTCCCCATTCCCAGCTTATCTTCCAGTCAGCTAAGTTTGGCCTATTCTATTATTCCCTCATTCACCTTTTCTTCCTTACTTGTTTACCAGGCAAAGTGTTCATTTCAGACAGTCTGAGACAAAGAGGTGATAAATGACCAGAGGAGTGGGGGAGAGGCGGGGGCCGAATAGCAGCGTGAGGAGCTGATGCGGAGCAGGAGAAGGGGGCTAACGGGAGTCTGAGGATGTAATGAGAATTACATCCTCAGAATGGTGGAGAAATGGATGAGTTATAGAAAGTGAGGGCAGAGTCATAAATGGGCAAGTGAAGGAGGATGAGGGTGGCTGGAGATCGAGGAGGAAAGAAGGGGCCGATAAAGGAGGAAGAGGATGAAGAATGGGCTGCAGGGCGATGCGCGTTCGCAGAACTGGTGACTGAGATGAAAATGAAATGGCACAGGGCAGTACTGAAAGCCACCAGGCTTTAAATCCAGCATGAGTGAGAGGGTAGATTTATGAGTGTGTGTACTGATGATTAGCAGTCATTTCAACCAGCGAGGCACTCAGGCATTCACTCATTATCTCGAAAAGAAAAAAGAGAGAGCAGCTCTTTCCAGCTAAGCCTTGCAGCATTCTTTCTGTCAGACATTTTGAGAAAACTCAACTGGTTGTTGGGAGCGGATATAGCGACTTAATTCAACGGGGGTCTGAAAGAAGATAACAAAGGCTTATCTAGAGCTAAGTAATTCTGATTAAGTCCTTTGCTCCCTCACAGAAAGCCCTTGATGAAGCAGTAACTGATTACGTGGGAAGGTTATTCTAGAGCTGAAGGGTTTTTCCATGACAGTTGAGTGTGCAATTGACAAAGATTTCCCATATTTTTTGATATACAGTTCAGTTGCCATAGTGAAAATAAGGTTGTTCTATCAACACTTTCCGTCTGACTCGTCATAGACAGACGTTTTTGGGTGGGTAGTGGAACTGAGGTCCACACGTTTTAACACAATGTTGAAAGTGAGGCATTTGACTGTGGAACCGGGCCAGGATGCGGAGTCTGGTTTCACCCCTGCATGGCAGAGTTTTAACCTGCATGCGTGGATGCTGAGGAAAGTGATCATAAACAGCCATTTCTCCAAACATTTCCGTGCCCATGCCGTGATTTACAGGACAAAATCAAGGCCATTTCAAACATTGTTACAGTAGGGCTCGCATTTCCTTCTCACTGGTTTCAAACTCATTTAGTCCCCCTCCAGATTCAGTCAATGTTTTTAGTCTTTCCCCTTTAGGTTTAGGGAATATTGTTTACCAGATGCCCCACAGTGTTGTGCACATTGCTTAACCCTTGCTCAGCTTTACTCGGCGTCTCTTAGGTGCTCTTCTTTATATAAATTGTTGCCATTTGTAGAGACATTTTCCTCCCGTTGTCCTTTTTTAGACTGACTAAAAAGAAAAGGTCGACTACTTATATTCTCCCAGGGCGCAATTTCAAGTAGTTCATCAACTTTGAGCTTTCAGTCATCAGTTTATTCTCTATTGCAGATCACATATGGGTATTTGCAAATCATTGCCTTTTGTTTTCACGACCCTTTTACCTGGCACCTGAACTTTTTGGAGTCTGTAATTATGATGCACTGTAGCATTGGGGCTTCAACAGAAAACTCATTTCAGTACATGGTTTGCAGGCATCCCCTTCCTTGCATTGCTGCTCGTGGCTTGCCAAACCACAAAGGAAAGCCAGCCAAACTGCCCACACTTACATTAGATGTGACGCCACATCCATTTTTCCTCCACATCCTGCTGCCAGAGGAGACAGGATATTGTGCTCAGTATGCAGTGATGAGCAGTGAAGCACAGTGAGACTCTGATCAGCCATGCTACTCATCCACCATGTCGCCACCGATGCCTGCTTCTGGGTTCAAAGCTGGAGCTAGCATTAGCTTATTTCATTTTGGCTACAGACTGCTGGTCAATCCTTGAACTCTGCGGGATTCGTAGCTGTATGTAATCAACAAAAAACACGTCAGCTGGAAAGAGCAAGTCAGGATTTATCCCTGAACCAAAACATGAGTTAGAAGTTCCACTTAGTGAGGTGAGAGAAGAGAGACATTATTTAGCTGGTGACAAAAAGATTGGGAGAGGAATAAAGGCAGGAGACAGAACTCATCGTGCAATACCAATGGCTGGAAATAAAAATCATACCATCAAAGACGGGGGGTTCCAGGGGCTTAAGCATTCACCACGGGAGGAGCACCAAACAGGAATGTGCTTATAAGAGAAACACTGACACAGAGACAGGGAGAGACATGAGCTGCTACACACAGGGCTGCAAGAAGGACAGAAAGATGGACAGGAAATAAAAGAGACAGTCCTTGGTTTAAAAAAGAGCTTAGCTTGTTTTGTAGTGTGCTGACTGGTACCTGGACCAGTTAAAGTGGCCTCTGATCCAGATGTGAAGTTGGCTGTCATGTGTGAGGGTTAACTTCAGGAATTCCATGCCAAAGATGAGGATCAACAGAAACGTATGAACCAAGCAGTCCTCATCAGGAGGAGCCTGTCCAGCAGCCACGCGTGTCTCTGGACAAGAAAGAGTTTTTATCCTCTGCTGTCTCCTGTTTTACCGCTGGAAATCTGGGATTTTGGCCAGTTCAGAGTTATCTGCGTCATAAACGCAGAGCTTCCATGGTCAAGAAGATTTTCTAATGACCTATCTGCTCTTCAGGATTTTTGTCAGAGAATGGCTTCCTGTTGGGCTCAGGATCTGAAAAAGCACAGAGATTTAAATAAGCAATAATCACAGTGATCTTTCGGGGCTGGTATTAACAGAGACTAGCTCTTCCTATTCCCTATGGGTTGCTCACTCCATCTAGGTTAAGCTACCTATCTTTCTACTTTTCAAAAACACGTTTGTAAAGTAACTAAGACCATAAGAAAATACATATTAATTGTTTGAACAGTGACCTGACTTTGAAGAAATGTGATTGCATCATTTGCACTTAGGTTTTAAGTAACATCAACTTAGCTTTTGTGGCTAGTAGACCAGTATCCTGATAATGACTGCAATTTCTAAATCAGTCCATCTCCCAACGCATTTGAATGTTTTTCTTCCTAACCCTATCAGAATGCAGACACTGAGAATACGTCACACAGTGCAAAACAACTCCACATCAAAGAGTGTGGGGGTCATGAGGGAATCTCACCTGTCCTGAGGTCTTGGGTTGGTTATTGCAAAAGGCGGTGCAGAGCTGGGCTAGACGTTGCTGCGCAGTAGCCCCCCCTGTGGATGCTCAGGAGTACTGCACTCTGAGGAGTTCTTGGCTTTGTCTTTGTTGTTGTTAGGCTCATTGTCTTTGATGATGTCATACTGACGACAAAACAAGGCAATCACTCCTGAGAGACCGAAAGACATAAACATAGTCCATCATAAGCCCTCAGGTAGGTTCATTTGAACTTCAGCTTATTACAGATCTACAGACACCATCGAGTCATCGGAATGCTTTGTTTCTTGAAGTACATTTATACTTTTGCTGATGTCTTTTGGAACACTTCAAGGGTATTTGAAATGTTTTAGTATCCTATCTTTTTTTGCAAAGGCATCTTAACAGCAATGTATTTTAGTAATAATTGAATAAAGACATGAAGGCAGGAATTGCTGCGCTTGCTCTTTGGATGTTCTTTTTTGTGTTAATGCTACCACTATTGATGCCTGCAGAATTCAGTCCCTGCTTTACATATTGGTTATGTCATGATTCGGAGCATATGGAGGAGGAGGCAGACCGCTGAAAACGTCCAAAAAGAACAACACATGCGGCAATGCTGTGATTCAAGAAACTAAACCTGTCCAATTAACAGCGCTGAAGATAAACTGAACGAATCAGGAACGTTGAGGGCAAAAGCAGCTGGAGAAATCCCAGGGGACACAGGAGGAGCAGAACAGACGGATTTTGTGATGGGGGTTTTACCAGCCCAACAGAAAAGGAATCGTTATACATTACTATCCAGCTCCAGCTCTCTAGCGTTGCTTTTTTCATGCATTTGGTCACCATACCACACCAAGGCCGATAGAGAAGAGCTCCAGGGGTTTGAGCTGAGGTTACTTTGTTAGCAGCTCTTTCAAATATGAATTGAGTCGGTCTGCACTTTGACAGCTTGGCAAACATTTCACCAGAGATATAAAACTCACCAAAACTTCAGTATATGCAAGTACATGTGCAGTAAAGGGAAAATGTCTCATTGATTGGACTTATTTTTAATATGGAGTCAATTTCCGCTGGAGGATGGTCGATATCTACTCCAGATGTGTCAATAAGGCCGATAAACTGAACTGGAACAGAAACAAGAAGAGTGTCAAACGGGCAGATGGATGGGGAATTGAATTTGACATTGAGACAGCCTTTTTTGGAGCCTGCCTCGAGTCACACAGATTAAAAACACGGCAGTGGAGTTATAGATGCGAGAGCTGATAGAGAGCAAGCTCAGAGAAATGAGAAAGGGAATAATTCATGATGGTGGAGGAGCCTGCGATGGGGCTGAATCCCAGCCCAAAAAGCCTTCCACATTTCTGCTTATGTCAGCCTCTGCTCATCTGTGGTTGCAAAAACAAAGGGCGAGATGGAATATCTCCCTGTGATATCCTCCAGCGTACCCCACAGGCCCAATTAAAAGCTGAAAAACAGAACTCGCCCATTTCACTCGAAGTTTTTTAGCGCCATCCTGCCCCTCCATGGTTTTTCTGCACCCTTTTTAAGTCTCTTTGAATCTTCCCCATTTCTCACTCAGTCTCTCTCTCTTCTCACTGGTAAATGGCAAGGGAGAGTCATTGTAGTCATCTTTCTAAGTCAAATGTAACATTGAAAGTCTAGTGTGTGTCTCATTGCACTTCATGAAGTGGGTTAAAGAGGAATCTTGATAGTTGTGTTCTTATCTAACATAGGGCTGGGATGCACCAACAGATGTATTTGTCTCATAGCTTTAACAACACACACGTACTGCATAAGGGAAAAGAACTGGTGTTTGATAGTGAATGGGCTCCAGCTGCTTATGAGTTATGGTTATGCTGGAAGATCAATCTCCTTCATTCAGAATGCATAACTGAAGAGAAGGTTCATCAGCTCTGAGGTAAACTACAGAATCAGAGTACGTTGGGACGGAAGTCTTCCATCACCGAGAAACGTGTTCCCAGCAGTAAAGAAAATGTTTTTAGAAAGAAAAAATGTATAGTTATGTTCTCATTATGGGATGGGAGTCCAGATAACTGTACTGATGCAAGGCAAACCAAACTGATTCCATTTAAGTACAAAAGCCACCCCAGACATGAATAAATTGATCATTAACTTTTGTAAAGTCATGTCATTAGTACATCATACACATTACACATCCCTGACTTTACCTAAGATGCCACCAGCAGAAGAAACCACACTCACATTCCATTATATTTACCAACCTCCATAACAAGTATCAGCACGGATGTTCATGTTTCCAAAAGAATGGGTTATAAAGTTTAAATGATGGATTTCCCACAATCTTTTATTTCTAGATTTACACTTCTAGGAGCAAAATGTTTAGCTATGGGTAATGTTCTATTCTGATCCACTTAGAAATGCTAGAAGTAAAAACTTAACCGAGGATTCGTCAACCTCATGTCCCCTTAATTAGGATGTTCCTCGAGGACTTACCGTTTGCCCACTTCTTTTTCCATTGTATAAATTCAAGTGAGTCTCAAGCATGAGAACAAGGGAAAATAATACATTTTCTTAATTTTGCACCCAAATAAAGTTTCTGATTTGGGTGAATTTCTTACATGTCTTATAACAAAGCCTTTTATAACTCATTGGGTTCATTTTTAGTAGTAATAAAAATAGTAAAACACCTTTTGAATATTTATTTGTTGACGGATTATTTATTTATCAAGGTTTATTAAGGTTGGCCAAGAAATCCAAACTTTTATTGACCAGTGGAGTGGTTGTTAAAATTGAAAAATGGCTAGGCCGTCTATTGACATTGAATTATAATACAATACAATGCAACAATTACCATATCAGGAAGAGCTTTCGAGACTTTAGAACTAATCAAATTGGTTTAAAGTAATAAAAAGCAACAGCAGGAGCTTTTGAGTGCTAACCCACTTGCTAGAAGACAAGGCGTTGACAGAGTATGTTTGCAAAGACTCTCTCTGATTTTTTTTTAATTTGACCTAAAGTTCAAACTGGGGACTACCACAATAATCTACAAAAACAACAATCTATGCCCCAAAAAGGTGGTTTTGGCCTCTTTCAAAGCATATTTCTTGTGCATTAGATGATATAAGTATAATCTACAATTGCATTTGTATTTTTTTCTTTTTGTACATATTCCAAAGAGTGAATTAAGTAATTGGTGTGCTGTGATTAGGAAAGAATAATCTGAGACCTGTCGTTTGACCAGTGATCTGCCTCTCCATAAGAGATTGGAGGTTTGCATTGTGATGCGATATTGTTGATGGATATTCTGAAGAGTTACCTCCATCCTTGCTGTTCTCAGCAGGTGCTCAGAGAGTATCCTCACATAAGCATCACAGCAGTTTGCCTTCTGCAGAGACTCAGTCCCTGAGCTTTCATGCTCCACACACACCTAGACATGGAGTTTTACCTGCCCACATGATGAGCACCACCACGATGATGATGAGTTCTCCAGCCCTCAGCTGGGCAGCCTGACCAACCTCCTCCATCGTCACCTCGTCTGGAAAGAGAGCACACACACACACACACACACACACACACACAAAACACACAGAGTCACCAAAGAGTGCACGGCGCTGGCGTTGAGTGGACGTGGCTCTGCCCTCACTCCTGAAACCCCCGCAGTGAATGACCAAAACACAACTGTGTGGCACCAGGGCAGAGAGGCCAGGCGGTGTAAATTTTCCTCTCTGGCCGGTGTAATTAAAGTAAAGTGAGAGCAGAGGTCTGCGGGAACTGTGGGAGCTGAATCCCCATCCCATCGCTCAGCGGGTGTCCCGCTGACAGCGTCCTGGCAGCTGCGCAGACCACCAATCACAGGCTTAGATACTACCGCCCCCTCCTCTATGCTGCCAGTCCCTAACGAAGCCCCGGGTCCCACTGTGTGCCTCATCTCAAGAGGCCTCCCTGGACTTCCATGTCACCCCCCTAAAATGAATAGACACCATGGTATGTGTCTTGGGGTGATATGAATATCCCCAAAGGATGCACAGGTTGGTCCAAAACCTGAACGCTGGTCTAAAACCTGCAAGTCAGTTGGTCTAAAAGAGACACGGTAGCATGCAAACAGCCTTTTTTCTGGTTGCTAAAGTTGCCACAGCAAATAACAAATCTGAAGTGAACACATGCAACAAACAGATACAGTATATCACTGATTTAAAGGATGGCAATATATTTGGTTTCATTAGTGCATTTGAGAGCTTATCAAACCAACAATAAAATGACTGTTTAACAATTACTGATGTTTGTTAAGAATGGTCTTCCTGGTGTCTGTTTTGCTGTACTTTACAAAAGACTGACAACGATTTCTGACAGCTCTCACATGACACTACCTGGGAGAACAACTCATCTTTTACACTTTTTATGAACAGCAGTAGTGGCTGTATAAAGAGGACTTTGATTGTCTTGTATAAGGAAATTGTTCATCTCTACCCCCCCGTCTACATCACAATGCATTATGGGTAGTGACTGGAAAGACCTTGGCCTCTGTGGCCATAGATAAATAAGATAAATGTTATTCTGGCTCACAGTTTGATCCGGAAAGCTGAAGAAGTGCTGAAGAAGGCAGCTGCATTCTGCTGGTAGCCTGTTCCATAACAGACAGCACCATCTCTATGTTTGTGTTACAGAGTAAGGTACGGAATGCCTCCGCACCAGAAAGCTCCGCTGACCCTGAAGAGGACCTATCAGCTTCCTGTGTGGCTGAAGGGTGTTTTAAAAACCCAGAAACAATCACAGCAGTCAGTGAGTACCTCCATCTCTGGGCATAGAGCCCACCTTTGGGGCTACGCTTTAACAGTGGAAACATCTGCAGCGGTCACTGTTCAAGACTTTCACACTACTTTCTGTAAAAGTCCAGAAACTGGACTCTTGATGGTGTGGTTTTAATGTTCCTGGTAAAGGACCATTAATGGAGAAACGCTAGTATCCTAGCTTCATCGCACCACCTTTTGCAGAGGGCTTTTTTGTACGCCTAACAGAACCCCTAATTGCATATCTAAATTCCGCAGTGGCTACGGCTAACAGACGTTGTGCCACTGGTTGATCTATGAACCCCGGCGCAAAGACGCACACAAACAGGTGAAAGCAAATGACACAGTCATCAAGCAAGTCTCTAAGCAATGTCAAATAATCCACAGGAAGAAAAATTCAATCAAGATTTAGGATTTCTTGTCAAATATTCACCATAACATGAAATGCTCTGGTGAAACATTCCAGAGATGACCATTCAGGGGAGGATGGGGAAGAGGTGGGCAGTGTTTACGGTGGATGAGCCCATGCTGAGGCACCTACTGCAGCTGAGCCTGGAGCCCCAGCAGCTGGGGGAGTCCTCCAGCATTGTGATTGTAAATGAGTTCAGCGGTGTCAGAAGAAGCCTGGTGCTGCAGAGCAACACAGTGTCCATCCAGAGTTTAAACGGCCCCAACAATAAGGAGGCCTGTTCAAACTTTATTCACGCAAAATAATGATTTACAAAAGCTTCTTTTTTTAAATTTGTAAAACGTTACAGCCGGCAAAAGGTTATTACACCTCAACAGAAGTTTTTACTGCATCGTAAACGCAAAAATAGTGCTTTCACTTATTTTCTTAGCCTTTCTCTTTTTAGCAAACAAACAAAAGGTTGAACAGATGGGCTGACAGGAACACATGCTTTGTGTTGGGCCGTATTTCAGATATAAATACAAAGTGGCGTGATTAATACCCGCTTAGCAGGGGGAGGAGAGCAGTAATGGCCTAGAGATTTAATCAGGACAGCTAATGAATGCTTCCACCAACACACAAAAAAGGAATCCATCTCAGTCAGAATCCCCAAACACCGAGACAAATCACCCCTCTAAACATCAAGTCCCATGAACAGACATACAGACCACACGTAGCAACGGCAGCAAACTGTTTGGTGCTTTTAAAAGTAATCAAGCAGTCACAACTGGCCATTTTGTAGCAACCTGAGAGTGCGTTTGCATGTTCTCCCCATTCCTGCCTGGGTTCTCTTCAGGTACTCCGTCTTCCTCCCACCTTCCAAAAACATGCATGTCAGGCTAATTGGGCCCTCAAATGATTTCCCCTAGGAGTGGATGGAAGTGTGTGTGGTTGTTTGTTTTCTGTGTGGCCCTGAATAAAAGAAACACTCAAGATCACTAACAATCCAAACAATCAACTGTCCCTCCCCGCCCCCCCCGCCCACGGCACCTTTGTGATGATAACAAAGAAGTATCGTTCTATGGGGTATACTACGGGCTGAGTGGGACCCAAAACAGAGACTAGGGTTAGGATGCAGCTGGTCAACAGTTGTGGACAGGGCATCAGGGGAGAGCGTGAGGTTCCAAATGATCCACACAGCCAGATTTATCAGGCTCTCCTCGTTACAGTGTGAGCTGTTCAGCTATCAGCCTCCACAGGAGCCAAGCACATTTGTTTAGGTAAAGAGAAGAATGAGCCCTTTCTTGTAGCCCTGAGCGAAGCATTCTCAGTAAAATGAGCTGGTGCACCCAGGTGTTGTGGTCCCATCAGTGCCATGCAAAGCCAGAGTGGATAAAAACAGGCCAATGCGGCCTTTCATGGCTGGTAAAATGAACGCTGGATGCTGATAAAACGCTTTCGCATTGCACTAAAAAGCCAGACGCAAGCAGTGTTTGTGATTCACATACCAGGAGCTTTCACTGCGCCAGATCAGTTTTGAATGGAACTACAGTAACACTTTCAGATGCTCCCCTGTATCCGATGCCTGGGCGGGCTACTTGATGTTGGCATTTTCTAGGGAATAGACTTCCCCATTAAGTCCTCTGTCTCCTCTCTTACGGCCTTACGGCTGTTGAAGCCCTCTGGAGCAGCTGCTTTTGGCAGCATAACTGGGTCGGACATGATAAAATTAGGAAGTATAGCGAGCTGCTCCAGATAACAGCAGCCTCTGCACGAGTCTGGAGGAGAACAATACTGTGCAGGAGATGTGTGAGGAGCTTCTGAGGAGGCTTCTGCCTTATGTACCCATTTTGTGTGTCCTGGAGAAGAACAAACAGAATACCAATGCTCTCCCATGTTACTGTCTGTACAAGAAAAGCTGATATTCAGATCAGTGCGCCCATACCTGTATGTGCAGATGTGTAGGTGGCAGCAGGGGAGAGACAGAGAGGCACAGAGTTTGTTTTCTCAGTCAGTGTCCCCATGATGATGCGTGATTGCTTCTGTTTCTGTTTGATTTCCTACTTATGTCTGTGTGCTCTTGCATGCAGTGAATTTTAATCTTCCTCGTGTACAGTATGTGTGAGTGGGTGTTAGTAGAATATGCTCAGCTGGTAAAAACTCATGCATATATGTATTTGATTAAATTTTTCACTATAAAAGTCCAAGGACTACAGCACACGTAATGTTTCTGTACACACAGGTTTGCACATGGAACCAAGAACAACGATGGCCTCGTTTCGACCGTGGAGAAAAATGACAGCTAATATCCAAATTAGTGATAAAAATCTGAAGAAGTGACCAAATTCCTTGAATAAAAGAAAGAAGAAAAAAATCAAACTCACCAGGACTCTTGGATGCCATCTTCTCTGACTCTTTTGGTGTTCTGAAAAGCACGGGCTGACTTGGGGGGCTGCTGCCTCCCATGCTGATGCTCTGAACGTGCACAATGTACTCGGTGTCCTCATCTAAATCCCACAATGCACAGGAGCGTGTGGTGGTGTTCACCTCCTGGATGAACCTCAGCATTCGCACATCCTTTTTCTACAGCAGCGTACCACAAAAGACAAGCATCATTGCAGGGGTTTGATTAGACCTCCCCCTTATATGCATGCAATGTAATTATATATCTTAGCAGCATAGTTTTATAATATAGCTATAAGAATTCCCAGTGACACAGGTGTAACACAATTTAACTATTGTATGTATTAAAAATGGCCAACAAAGGTTTTATTTGACATCTGGGGGTGGTATTTGAATCTGTTTTTAATCTATTTTATGTGATCTATGGGGGGATCTATTTAATTGGTTTTCTATTGGGGCATGAAATGGCTCTGGGTTCTTACAGGTTAAATTGTAAGCAAGATGTATTAATTGCAGTTTTTGGATTGCACAGTCCATTTTCCCTTCTTAGAGCTGCTTTTATACTAATGCATACACTTCTGTCTAGGTTAACAGTTGGGAAAACTCCCAAAACCCTCCCGGGTTTTCCCCCCTCAAAGCAATTAAGCTAAAAGAAAGTGCTTTTTCTGTTCATGTGCTTTTCTTGCAGACTTAACATTATTACCCTTCTTGGTCGGGTCAATTAGCTCCAGCTAGATTTAAGAGCAAAGCATCTTAAGGGCACTTCTATTTATTACACATTTAAAGGAGAGAATTTCTTTAGCTGATAACATTTCTGAAAGAAATTATTGTTTTGTCTGTGTGCGAGTGTATATCCAATGTACACGTGGGGGTTTAAAAGACCAACACAAAAACCTCAGAGCTATCAGAGGTACCTGTTGGGTAATGGCGAATCCAATGACGGGGTCTCCCTCCAAGATTTCCCACGTCACCACGGCAGAGTTGACCTCCAGCTCTCTGATGGTCACATTGAGCGGAGCGGACAGCAGAGCGTCTAACACACACACACATGCATGGCCAAATGAAACAAATAAAAACATAAATAGCTCATAAAAGCTTTTGGTTCACACTTTGTGATGGTACCAGTGGATGCTGCAGGGGAGAGCATGAACACACGTGGTCGCTACCGTCGCCCTTTCACTTTGAACCCACCGTGCACATGCTCTCTCAGCCCACCCTGACAAAGATCTTCTCTTCACACACACAAATGAATCCCTCTCCCTTTGTTAATCCCAGGCCCAATTAACCAAACGCCAGTTCTTGGTGCTTCCTTCGAGAGCCAGCTCTTTCTCATTACCTCTTTGTTTCTGTGGTTCCCTCTCATATCTATTTTTCATTTACCTTCATCTATTTCACACACACTCCTTTATCTCATCAAAGTGTGAATCAGGAGGTTGTAACTCTTCTGACGCCAATTTGTGCTAAAAATAGATGAATAAATAAATAACTAAAAATAATCATTTCACAGTCTATAGAGCTTTGCTGATGAGGGGATTAACTATGATGGATCGCCTCTCTGTCTTGCTCAACTTGTTTGATTATTTCTGCTGCAAGAAAACAAAGACAAAAAATAGAGTGTGTATGCATTTGTGTTTGGGTGTGAGACAATAAAAAACGTATTTATGAACTGAAACAGGCTGCAGGTCTTTTACAAACCAGTCTGTATTTATTTCCCAGGAGCCTGACTTGACAGAGTACCGTCAGTCAGACCGTGACATTGTTCTGCAGCACACAGACGGCTGCCAGTGCACGCGTGCACACAAAGACACGCGGCCAGACCAGCGCTAAAATGCCCATTTGTCTGTACTATAAAAGCATAACGAAAAGCATATGCCGATCCAGTTTATTTTCTTTCTGAAATCTTCCCACAGCAATTTCTTATGCATGTCTATTTTAAAAAAAAGTATTTGTTTAATTCATACAAATAGGCTCCATCCCCCCCGCGACCCCAACGGGGAATAAACAGTTACGGAAATGGATGGATGGATGAATGGATAATTCATACATTCCAGCTTGTTGTTATTTTAAATAAATTAATTCTGTGAATTAAGAACATTTTCTGTCATTTCCACGCTAGCAGTGGTTCAGCATTCATACATAGTTGTGCTACATATCTTACTGTTCTCGCTAGTTAGCAACTAGCACATTAGCATACTGAGCACATAGCAGTCCTATGGTGTGTAAGAATTAAGCATAGAGGAAGCAACAAAACAATGAAAATGAGCTTCATTTGACCTTATTAACCCAGTAGCAGGACATCCAAGACAAAATACATTTTGAAATCAGTGTGTTGTATTTGGTCAACTATTCAAATAGGCAACTGTTAGTTAGCAAATTTGCCTGCTGATAGCTGTTACCTCTGTGTTTCCAGCTCATTTCTGAGCTATAAAGAAATATCCTATTGGATAAGTATTATAAAGTATGACAACATGACATAAATGAGTAATTCAGCTTTATATATGGGTAAAACATTTCATTCCAAGGCTGCCATGGATGTTGTCAGGGCCTACTTGTGGAGAGGGCAGGCAGGTCTTTTGACCTATGACCATATACCAGTACTCATATGGTCCATTTAGGGTGACCATGGTTTCAGAAATGTCAAGATCAGATTTACCCTTAATTTCAGACATTCTGAAATTCAGACTGCTTACATGAATGTGTGAAAATCCTGAGACAATGGAACCAACCCTATCCCAGAATACCTGCAAGGGATGCAGATCTGATATTTAAGCAAATTCACTTTAACTTTAGCTGCTTCTGAATAACAACTTATTATATGTTTGGCAATATACACACATTATAAAATAGGTGAAGTTAAGGATCCCCAACATAATGTTGCTCAAACCCATCAGAATATTTTTAGATGGCAATAACTCTTCTCACTCTTCTCTTTTCCCACTTTGTGGAAGATGCTGGCTTGCTTTGTCTGTCAGCCCCTACCCTGCTTCTCTGAACTGAGAAAGTCCAGAAGGTAAAACACATCAGATAACCCCTCAGCCAAAGCAGGGTTTGGTTGGGTGCTGGTCTGCACGAGGCACTACAGAAGTGGTATTCACTGAAAACTGAATTCATCCTGATGTAGCTCTTTTAAATGAATCTGCCTTCAGCAGTGATGGGGATTTATACCGGTGTGTCTTAGCCCCAGATGCTTGTTATCCGAGTAATTAACTTCAAATTCTCTGAAACCATTTACTTGGATACATACGTATGTGTTTGCTTTGTGATTATACTGCAGTGTCTTTAATGCCTTTTTTTACCTGCTGAATTACAGAAGGAAATTCTGTCTGCCACTTTTTTTGGAAAGTACACTGACCGCTCTGCAAATATTGAACTCACAGTCTGAGAACTGTTCAGATAATAACTGAATTGTGAAAATGAGACACACATCCAAAAGAAACAATTCAGACTAAAAGAAACATGTCTTTTTGTACTTTACACCCAAACAGCATTTCTTTGGTTAAAATTCTAGACATCTAGGTTGAAGCTGGGTATTGGATTTGTGAATATACCTATTACAGATTCACATATGTAACCAAAATGCTACCAGTATAAAGTGATCCAAGCAAATAAGAGATTAAAATGACCTTTAAAGACCCCCTGTACCTCACTAGCTGACACATTTGTCCTTCAGCAGTTTGTGCCACTGCTACATGAGTTAATAAAGAACAAAACCCATGAGCCAAAAGTGCTTCATTAATGGTAAAAAGAAGGTTATGACTAGATATCTAAATCCATTTTTCTTTCTTTCTATGGATCAATAAACTGAGTAGCTGCTGAAAATCTTGTTAGGAGTGTGTACTCAAACAGTGTGTGATTCATTGCCTGTTTGACTAGATGTTTTCTCACTGTGCATTTTCTACAGACCCAGACCAGCCAAAAGCAGCCAGGGACCCCCATCCAGTCTGACCCAAGCCAAAGGATGGCTGCACAATTATGGAACTCTCTCCTAAAACTAGCATTTCCAGCCTCAGGGGGATCTCTAAGAAAAAGCATCTCTGATTCTTTCAACAAGAGCTGGGCTTTTCAGATGGTAATCTGACATCTTGCAGCTTATCACAGAGATCCTCCAGCTATATGAAGTGCCTTCTCAAATAAAAGCTGGTATGAAATTGGCTGTGATCTTATATCTTCAAATGGTAGCAGCTCATTCCTCTCTTTCAGGGCAATGATGGATGTCTAATCTGAGGTACAAACGTAAAACCTGGTTTAAAAAAATGCTTGAATTACCAGAACTGTGTGATAATAGTAGCGCCAGTGTTTTCCGCCCACACATCAGAAAAAGTGGCATTTGCGCACCTGTGATAAAGCCTTTATCACCTGCTGAGTGCTGAGCCTTGGCTTCAGCTCACTGAATCCGAAAGAGTTTCATTTCATTTAGGCACGATTTGAGCATCTCTCTAGCGAAAGTACAGAAACCCCCCTGTGTTTCCACATGCCCCAAATGCCCCGAGAGCTGGGGCGATAGTCCTGCCTGGATGCAGTGTCAGAGTCTTTTGTGTTTCTTTCTCTTTTTTTTTTTTTACCAATGCTTATTAGTGCTCGTGCGGATGAAAGCACAAACACGCAGGGCGCATGCATGAGTCGTGCCCGGCCCCACAGGGCTGCTCACAACGCGCTACAGCATCCATGACATCACACAGCGGTGCACAAAACACTACACCACAACATGTGTCTGACGAGCCCCCCCCGCCCCAGCCCCACC